TGACTTAATGATATGATCGTGTGTGCTGGGGAATGTACACACTGAGCCAAAAGCTGTTCAACAAGGATTTGGGGTTTGTTTTGTTTTGCTCTAAGCAAAGACTATTAGACAAGGCTGAAAATTTTCAGTAATTTTTTTTTTTTAATCCTCACTCGAGGACAGTTTTCCATTTTTTTTTTTTTTTTGGTTCAGATAGAGTGGGAAGGAGAGAGAGGAAGAGAGAGAGAGAAACATTGACATGAAAGGGACACATCGAGTGGCTTTCACCCTCATGACCAACCAGAGCCGGGGACAAACTGCAACCAAGGTATGTGCCCTTAGTGGGAACCAAACCCGGGTCTCTCTGGACTGCAGGCTGACGCTCTAACCCCTGAGCCAAACTGGCCAGGGCTGAAAATGTTCAGTAATTTTGTGTCAAGGCCAGCTCAAGTTTAACAGTTGATTGGAAATTTCAGAGTACCCTAAACATGAAGACCTACCAGTCCTTTGTTCAGTCCAACAATTTCCTTCATTACAGGGTATGAGGTTTTTTCTTGCTTGCCCTCAGTCAAACCCCTTGTTTCCTTACTTATGAATTATTAGAGCATGTTTCTTGTTGCTTATTCCCAGTTGCTCCCCATCCATCGCACCATTCTGTACAAATATATTCACTGAAATTTTCCACACCTGTTAACTACAACCTACCATTGCTTTACACAGTCCTCCAATGATCTTCCAAGATACTTCAAAGCAATCCAGCTCAGTGATTCTTAATCTAGGAATGGCTGCATGGCTGCTGTCATTTTTTTTTTTTTTAATCCTCATCTGAGGATATTTTTCCATTTATCTTCAGACAGAGTGTGAGGAAGAGAGGAGGGGAGAGAGGGAAAGAAACATCGATGTGAGAAAGACTCATCAATTGGCTGCCTCTCGTGCAACCCTGACCAGGGTAGGGGACCAAACCGCAATCCAGGTATGTGCCCTTGACTGGAATCAAATCCGCGACTCTTTGGTCCACAGGCCGATGCTCTAACCACTGAGTCAAACCCACCAGGGTGAGGCTGGAATACCTTTTAAAGCCAAGTGCTTGCCAAACTTAGAAATGACTCTATGTCTCACCCTTCTCAAGACTGAATTTGGAAAAGATGCAGCACTACCAATTATTTGTCAGGAGCTTACTAAAGTTATATGTATAAAAAAAAGTCTTTTACGAAAATAAGCAATAGCCCTGGCCACCGTGGCTCAGTGGCTGGAGCATTGGCCCGCACACTGAAGGGTCACAGGTTCCATTCCCCAGGGGCACATACCTAGGTTGCAGGTTCAATCCCCGGCCCAAGTTGGGGCTCATGCAGGAGGCAACCAATCTATGTGTCTCTCTCACATGCATTTCTTTCTCTCCTTCTCTCTCTCACTTCCACTCTCTAAAAAATCAATGGAAAAAATATCCTCGGGTGAGGATTAACACAAAAAGAAAATAAGTAAGTAATAAAGAGTAGGAATGAAGCTCTGGGGCTCTGGCCAAGTAGCTCAGTTGGTTAGAGCATCCTCCAGATACACCAAGGTTGCAGGTTCAGTCTCAGGACACATATAAGCAGCAACCAATGAATAAGTGGAACAACAAAATTGATGTTTCTCTAAAAAAAAAAAATATCACCCTGGCCAGTTTGGCTCAGCAGTTAGAGTGTCAGCCCGTGGTCCAGAGAGACCCGGGTTCAGTTCCCACTAAGGGCAAGTACCTTGGTTGCAGTTTGTCCCCAGCCCCAGTTGGGTTGTGTGGAAGGCCACTCGATGTGTCCCTTTCACATCAATGTTTCTCTCTCTGTCTCTCTTCCTCTCTCTCCCTCCCACTCTATCTGAACAAAAATGGAAAAATGTCCTCAGGCGAGGATTAAAAAAAAAAATCAATTAATAAAACTTTTAAACTAGGAATGAGGGGAAACTTCAGAAGTTACAGCTGTTTGACCTTCTCTATTATTCCATTCCAATTACCTTAATCTCTCCTCAATTTGCCTCTTAAAGAGTTAACTACTCTGGGGGGGGGGGGCAGGGGATAGGGAGGAGGGTGTCTGCAGTGGGGGAGGGGGTGGGAGAAACACCTGTAACAAAAATAAATAAATAATAATTTTAAAAAGAGCCCTGGCCAGTTTGGCTCAGCGGTTGGAGCGTCGGCCTGTGGACCAGAGAGTCCCAGGTTCGGTTCCCGCTAGGGGCACATACCAAAAAAAAAAAAAAAAGTCAACCACTTTGGCCCGCCAGGTGTGGTTCAGTTGGTTGAACGTTGTCCTCTGCACCAAGAGGTCACTAGTTTGATTCCCAGTCAGGGCACATGCCTGGATTGCAGGCTTGATTCCCAGTATGGGTCATGCAGGAGGCAGCTAATCAATGTTTCTATTCCTCCCTCTTCCTTCCTCTCAAAAAATCCCACAAAAAACAACAAAACCATATTTTTTAGAAAGTCAGTTACTCTGATCTGCCCCATCTATACTGATTTCTTCTCTGAATTCCTATAACATTCCCAGTTTGGGGCTCATAGCATACTACTTTAAAATTGATCTTTAGTTGTTTTTTACACACAAATTTTATCAAAGTTCAAAAGCAGGGCTATTTTATATTGCTTTGAATCCCTCACAGCTTTTTTTTTTTTTTTAAGTTTCGACACAGGAAAACAATCACAAAAGGAAGCATTTATTTGAGGCTTCACATGAAATCATTCAAATAAAATTTGTATAAATACAAATCCACACAGAATCATAACAGATAGCAAAAGGCAAAGAAAAAAAACTAGCCCAGCCCTGGCTGGTTTGGCTCAGCGGTTCGAGTGTCAGCCTGCAGACCAGAGAGGCCTGGGTTCGGTTCCTGCTAAGGGCACGTATCTCAGTTGCAGTTTGTCCCTGGCCTGGTTGGGGTCGTGTGGGTGGCAACCACTTGATGTGTCTCTCTCACAATGATGCTTTTCTCTCTCTTCCTCCCTCTCTCCTTCCCGCTCTAAGATAAATGCGGGGCGGGGTGTGGGGTGTGGATGTCCTCGGATGAGGATGAAAAAAAATACTAGCTCAGCTGGTGTGGCTCAGTGGTCGAGCATCAACCCATGCATCAAGAGGTTGCTGGTTTGATTCCTGGTCAGGGCACATGCCCCCGGGTTTCGGGCTCGATCCCCAGCTGGGATGTGTACAGGAGGCAGCCGATCTATGTTTCTATCTCTCTCTCTCCCTCTCCATTTCTCTCTTTAAAATCAATATAAACAGCCTTGGCCGGTTTGGCTCAGCGGTTAGAGCATCAGCCTGCAGTCCAGAGACTGGGTTCCCGCTAAGGGCATGTACCTCGGTTGCAGTTTGTCCCCGACCCTGGTTGGGTTGTGCGGGTGGCAGCCACTTGATGTGTCCCTTTCACATTGATGTTTCTCTCTCTCTCTCTCTCTTCCTCTCCCTCTCTCTCCCCACCACTCTATCTGAACAAAAAAAAAAGGAAAAATGTCCTCGGGTGAGGATAAAAAAAAAAAAAGAAAAAGAAAAGAAATAAAATCAATAAAAACAGCCCTGGCTGGTTTGGCTCAGCGGTTAGAGCATCGGCCTGTGGACCAATGAGTTGCGGGTTTGATTCGGGTCAAGAGCATGTACCTTGGTTGCGGTTTGTCCCCGGCCCTGGATCGGTCGTGAGGGAGGCAGCCAGTTGATATGTCTCTCTCACATCGATGTTTCTCTCTTCCCTTCCCTCCCACTCAATCTGGTGATAAATAGAAAAAATATCTTCAGGTGAGGATTAAAAAATAAAAAAAATAAAGTCTTTAATAAAAACATTAAAAATAAAAATTGGCTATATACAATTGGACACAATTGCGTCTTGTACACTAGAAAGTCTTTTACAAAATAACCAACGGAAGACCAATCTTCAATGTCACTCTGCAAGATGGGTTACTTTAGCAATCTCCTTTAGAAATCCTCCTTTAGTATAGCTGATAACTGTTCTGGTGATTGCCACCCCCTTGAGAAGCCTTGCAGTAAGTGCTCTGTTGGCCTTGGCCACGATCCCTACTACCATCTCTTTCTCCTTTTCGTTGTTGATACTGCCTATATACCTCTTTGACTTGGGCAACTTTGATTTCATTCTTCTCAGAACCAATTTGATGATACCTGCTTTCAACAATTTCTTTACTGGCTCCTCGTCTGTATATGTGATAAAACAAAAACCTCTTCTTTCATTTGCTTAATAGGAAGTTCAATATTTTCAGTTTCTCCAAAGGCTCCAAAATATTGTTTTTCAGAAATATCTGGGCTCAATCCACTACAAAGATCTTTTGGGGGAGTTCCTTCCCTTTTAAAGATTCAGCCCTGAGAATCGAACCAGCAACCTTTTGGTGCATGGGTCGACATTCAACCACACCGGCCAGGCTGCAGCTGGATTTAAAATGACAGCAGAAGAGGCCTCACCACTCTTAAAACAATGCTTAGAGCACAGACGTTCATACATAGTCTGACTGTAATCCCATTGCCTTTCCCAACAGACCTTACATTAGAAAATGGAATGTCCTGCCTCCATTACCCATCTCAATAGTAAATGACATTGACGGTTACTGACCCACTCACTAAATGTTAAATAAAACACAAAAATACTTTCCTTTAAAGTCCAAACAAGTCCTCTCTGCCAACACTGATGCCCCTTTAGAGTAGTGAAGATAAAAGCAATGACCTTCACATAAAAATTTATTCCTTGTTCTCTCACATTTAATATACATACTTGAAACTTGACGCCTTGATCAGACGGCAAAGTTGCTATCATTTTCAATGTGTTTTTCCTTTCTCCCCATCCAAGAGGTCCTCTGAATGAAGGAGCATTCTCTGGTATGCTCCCTAGCACTTGACACAGGTGTTCTGTACTTGGTGAGCACTAAAACATTTTTTTAATCAATAATTTCCAGAATATAAAAATCTCATGGCATTAAATTTTTTTCTTGAAATGACTCTTTGCAATGATTCCAAACATTTCTACCCACACATAGGTAAGTAAAACAAAAGCCCAACAAATTGTTTACAAGTTTTGTATTGTGTCATATCATACAAACTGTCTTCATATACAAGGGCATACATGAAAAATGTCTTTCCCTTCTCCTCCCCAAACATCACAGTAGATCAATTCTTGCTAATATATCATGAAGTTAAAATATATATCCCTTTCTAGATTCTAAATAGCTAATTCTAGACACTAACTTCTAAGTTTTGTAATTTACCAATCTGGTATGGACATGAATAGTTCCAGTGCTTTGCAACTTGTCCCTGAATTTTCTTCTCTTCAAAGTTCCAGGCAGTAATTGATTTTAATGCCTCTAAATTGGATAAAGCTGACTACTTAGAGCTTATAAATTACATACACTATAGGATCACGGATGAGAGATATGACATATACATATGATATCCCTCAAACTATTGAGCACCATGAAGAGAATTCTCAATACTAACTGATGGGCTAATTAATCCAACAATCAAATACATGACAGTGATAGTCTTTTCTTTTTGAGAGTATGTTTAGTAAAGCTGGGGACAGTGAATTGAGGAAGGGCTTAGGGTAGAAGAAGCAACAGGAGAAGCCTAGGTGGGGCTGCTTTGTCTCTCTAGAGATAATACAGGAAAGAAGTTAAGCCAAGGCAGGGCTGTTGTTGGCTCACTGGGAAGTAGAAGTCACAGTGACAGAAGTGAGCCAAGGAGGAGCTGCTGTTGGCTTAACAAAAAGTCAGAGAAAAGGGGGCCTTGGAGACAGGTTTGGGGATTAGCAAGTCTCAGGGACCCTTAGAGTTTAGGAGATGCACGCCTGAGAGGTAAGAAAGGTGTGGGCGTGCTCCTGAGAGGGAAAGCCCTGACAATGAGTCTTAAAAACATTGTTATTTTTCTTACATACAACTAAATTCCCTCCTGTCTTACAGATCTTTCTTTCTGGCAGTGTTCTCTGCTACACTGTCTATCCCAAATAATTATATAGCTGTCAACTTCTTGGTTGATGCTAAAAAACAGTTTCCTAGGTCATTAGTAATGAGAGCTTAAGGCATTAAAGTGTGGTGAAATACTGTTAAAACAGAATTGCACTGTATTTATTTATTTTCTACCTTCATGCTTCTCCATGAACCATGCTATGGTTCCTATAAAACTGTCCTGGAAAATTCAAATTCTGTCTTTTACTTCTGAATGGCTTGAGTACCATAAAACATGACTTACTTGGTAGCAAAAACATTTCCAAGAGTTGCAAAAGGAACCACTAGTCAGCTAAAAAAGTTATAACCATCATATTTCTTTAAACTTGGAACACACAGCATTGATTATAAGGAAAAATATAACCCTGTCTTTCTGCCTGTAATAAAAAAGGACATAGTAAGCTGAGCTGTGTGCTTTTCAAGAGGCACTACATAAAGCCCTGTTCTTAAGAGTTTGAAGTGGACAAGAACACTGCTTCAGTTATATGTAATGTTCAATATATGCTACATTAGTTTTGCACTTAATCTCCACACATAACCAATCCAGTATCAAAATAATCCTGCCCTGGCCTGTTTGGCTCAGCAGCTGGGGCGTTGGCCTGCGGACCAGAGAGTCCCGGGTTCAGTTCTCGCTAGGGGCATGTACCAAAAAAAAAAAAAAATCATCATCATCCTGATTCTAAAAGATAATTCCACCAATACCAAAAGCTGTTTCTTCCCAGGACAATAGATTATCAAAGTGGTATTCTCTTAAGCTAAACTTTGTCAAGGCTCAGACATCCTGAGGTGAACTTAGCAAAGTCCTTATAAAGAAATCTTTAATAAGAAACTCAACCTATGGAAATTTTAAAGCTTCAAGACTGGCTCATTATACAGAAATACCACAGGCTTTCTTGGAGCACTAAGTCTAGTGATTGTCAATGTCAAGGAGGCACACATACAACTTTACTCAAACTCCTGATGTCTCTTCTGTATGGAAAGTGCAGTCAGTCTGACAAGGGGCCTAAAAACATTTGCCAGGCCCAACTTTTCCAAAGAGCATAGGGAAGCTAAGGGAAAGTACTAGCAAACAGTTAATGTAAATGTATTGGTAAGTGCATCTCTGGGGGAAAAATAAAGCTCTACAAGGCAATGGCTGCCCCAACTAAGGATTTAGATTAAACAAGTTTAGTAATTCAGTAATGGTTCCCAAAGTGTTCACCCCTTTGAACGTAAAGTCTGAACCCTGTAAGAAAGAGTAAAAGAATCTTATAGGAGAACCCTTCATTACATTTTATATGCTTCTGTTTGTTCTCATCCATCCCAATACATTTCTTAGAAAAGCCAGGTGCATACTGGGAACAATGTTCTGACCCTACCCTTTTTCTAGCCAAGTTCCTGTAAACATGGCCTGATTTCTCCAAATATCATCACTCCCTAATCTGCAACGGAGTCAGTCCCACAACTACTGGCTGAACTTCACTGATATCTTTAGCACTGGTTTCCCTATACGATTTTTGTTCTGTCTCCAGGAAGCACAGTGTGAATAGAAAAGACTGAGGTCCTTCACTAGGACAGTCCCAGGAAACTGAAGTTCAAAGATAACGTGGAGTAGTGCATGGCAAAAAAAAGTCCTCTTATGAGGTTAGTCAAACACAAATGGTATACATATTCCCCTGGGTATAAACACTTTACATCAATTAATTAATATGAGCAACAGAACCCAAAACTATGGTAGATCAAATTCTAATGTGACAATTTAAAAGCAGACAGTGCTCCACTGGGTTAACAGATCAGAATTAGCTAAGAGACAACATATTAAATACCACATCATTGAAAACTCGTAGTAGGCATGTCCCCTCCATCAGTTACTTTTAAAACAACGGTCATAACAGGAGAAAGAGCAAGCACCGTGCTCACTAATGCAGGTTACTGGACAGCTTTGATTAAGCACTGCAGTTCATACATAAACACTTCATAACTTCAAGTTACTGAATCTTTCTTCTTCCGGAATGGTGATTTTAGCCTCTTCCATACACTGTTTTTGGGTTTAGACTTTTTCTCCATGGCCAGTACTGCCTCCTTTTCTTTCCTACGTATCTCCCGGACAAGGGCATGGAATACGTCATCAATGTAGTAGCGGTATGCAGCAGATGTCTCAAAAAAGGGACAGCTGAATTCTCGGGACAAAGCCAATCCTTCTTCCTTGGTGACCTTTAAAAATGTAAACAGAGAAAATGTATAGTGGTACCGGTGGAAAACAATGACAAGTACCCAAAAAAATGAAGGGCTACCTTAATAGAAAAACAGCTTCTCAACTATGGAGGTGTTCAAGCAGAGTGCAGTGATTTCTGTAATGCTGAGAGGCTGAATTACATGAGTTCTAAGAGTCCTCCTGCCTTCAAATTATGTGGATCTGTTTCTACTCTATTTTATTTATTTTTTTAAATAAATATACTCACAAGGTTGTGAACCCATTACCATATTGTAATTTTATTTATTTATTTATTTACTTTTTATCCTCACCTGAGGACATTTTTCCATTTTTTGTTCAGATAGAGTGGGAGGGAGAGAGAGGAAAAGAGAGAGAGAGAGAAACATTGACGTGAAAGGGACACATCCAGTGGCTGCCACCTGCACGACCAACCAGGGCCAGAGACAAACTGCAACTGAGGTATGCACCCTTAGCGGGAACTGAACCCAGGTCTCTCTGGACCATAGGCTGACACTCTAACCGCTGAGCCAAACTGGCCAGGGCTCTACACTATTTTAAAGATAACTTTTTGGAACAGGGAACAGTTATGGATATCAAATACGCAATCTTCATTTTCTTCATAGTTTTCAATTTAAGAAAGTAAGACATGAGACAAACAGATGTATACTTAAACTATAATACTGAAAACTGTAAGGAACCCAAAATTGATATATCCAATTATAGATATACCATAATTTCTCCTAGTTTTGGATAGACTTTTTTCTAATTTTTTGCTACCATAAATAGCCTGGCAATAAACATTTTATATGTAAAGCCATGAACAGACTTTACAAAGTCAAACTACTTCCAAAAATGTGTACCATTCATTGCTTCCACTAGTATCATGAGTGTGTCTGTTTCACCACACCTTCAGAAACTTGACACCAAATAGCAAAATTTTAAACATCACTGCTAACTTGAAAGGTATTACTTATTCTAAAATCCTCTATAATTTCTCTTATTCTCCCCTTCCAGGGCTCATAATCTTCACCATCAGGAAGTATATCTTAAAGTCTAATTTAAGTTTCTCCTGATGCAACATAAACAGATTTATTTCTGATGTTTTAGAAATTCAACATTTCATGATCCTTCACTTAATGCATATTCTGGGTGTCATCTGATTACTATCCTGTAGATTGTGTCCTATAAACTAATTCCTAAAATCCATATTTTTATCCCATATAATAGCAAATTAGTATATATCAGAAAATTTTCAAGGTTAGGGAGAAGCTGATTTTGAATTTTTACTTTCAGACAAAGAAATCTATAAACAGAAAAACAAAAATGACTAATCCCACTAGATTACAGACATCATTTTCAACTCTATCCTCACCTGTCTTAGCTGCTTTAGATCAGACTTGTTTCCTACAAGAACCACAGGTGTATCATCAGTCCGTCGAACTCGATAAATAAGCTGTTTAAACTCCCGAACTTCATGAAAACTTCGACGATCGGTGATAGAGTAGCAGATGATAAACCCTTCTCCTGCCCTCATATACTGATCTCGCATGGCTGTAAACTCTGCCTAGAGGGAAACAAGGGTCATTAATGTACTGATGCAAATTAGAACTACATATGTATTAGCTATTTATTTCAGATTAAAGAAGAGATATGTCAATTACCTGCTATCCTGAGTCAGAGTGCATGAAAAATTAAAAGACATGAACTAGTGATAGTCTCTGTATAAGCCTTCCCACTTCCCTTTACTAGAGTAAAAAAAGTCTTTATTCATAGCATTCTGGGATTTGATACCTGTCCAGCCGTATCCAAAATGTCCAGATTGGCAGGCTCATCATCAATACGGATCCGAATTTTATAAGCATCTTCTACAGGAAGGAAAAAAGATGAACTATGAACCCATAAATGCAGGAATATACAATCCTATTTAAAATCCACCTAGCGGAAAAGCAGATTCCATAAATTCTTTAATTGCCCACACTTTTTCCGGAAGTATGCTAAATCCATTGAGATACATAAATTAAGTCTTCAATTAAGTATTTTTTTCCACTTAAACAATGATATATTTTATTCATAGCTTAAGTTTATAAGACTTCCCTTACAATTCTAAGCTAAAAAGATTCTGAGATTACTATTATTTTTTGATATGTTTTTATTGATTTTAGAGGGAGAGAGAGAGAGAAATACTGACATATCAGCTGCCTCCCATAAGCACTCTGACCAGGGATCAAACCCAAAACCTGGGTACGTGCCCTGACCAGGAACTGAACTGATGACATCTTGGTGTACAGGATGACGCTCAAACAACTGAACCACACCTAGGCCAGTCCTGGCCAGCGTGGCTCAATGGTTCCTGGTCAAGGGCACGTACCTGGGTTGTAAGTTTGATCCCTGGCCCCAGTCAAAGTGCATGCAGGAGGTAACTGATTAATGTATCTCTCTCACATACATGTTTCTCTCTCTCTCTCCCCTTTCCTCCCTTCCACTCTCTCTAAATATCAATGAAAAAATATATTCTCAGGTAAGGATTAACAACAACAACAGCAACAACAAAATAAATAAATAAGAAGAAATATTAGGCCAAAAAGTAACTTTACCACTTGTTAAACAGGTATTAATGCCAGGCATTATACTAAGTAATTTAAATACATTAACTCATTCAATAATAATCCAATGAGGTATTATTATCTTCATTTTACAGATTAAAAAAATTAAACTCTAGCCCGGCTGGTATGGCTCAGTGGACTGGGCATCATCCTCCGCACCAAGAGGTTGCCGGTTCGATTCCAGGTTAGGCACATGCCTGGGTTGTGGGCTTCATTCCCAGTGTAGGGCATGCATAGGGCAACCTATCAATGTTTCTCTCTCATCAATATTTCTCTCTCTCTCCCTCTCCCTCTAAATATCAATAAAAACATATTTAAAAAACTAAACTCTAAAATTTAAACCTCCCCATATTATACAGTTAATTAATGATATAGCCAGAAAACCTAGGGCTGCTTGACTCAAAAGCCATACACTCGCCCTGGCCGGTTTGGTTCAGCAGTTAGAGTGCCGGCCTGTGGTCCAGAGAGACCCGGTTTGGTTCCTGCTGGGGACATGTACCTCAGTTGCAGTTTGTCCCCAGCCCTGGTTGGGTCTTGCGGGTGGCAGCCACTCCATATGTCTCTTTTGCATCAGTGTTTCTCTCTTTCTCTTCTTCTCTCTCCCTCCCACTCTATCTGAACAAAAAACAAAAAGGTGTCCTCGGGTGAGGATTTAAAAAAAAAAAAGCCATACACTCAATCATATGCTATAGTTTCTCCTCACTTTAATACTATAGAACAGGGAAAATAACTTATTTTACTATTTTCTAAATAATCCATAGTCATAATTTCTCCTATATGAAAGCAAATTTTTTTTAACAATTTTTTTTTCTTTTTTGATTTCAGAAAGAGAGGAAGGGAGAGAGAAATAGAAACATTGATGAGACAGAACATCAATTGGCCGTCTCCTGCATGCCCCCCACTGGGGATCAGACCCACAACCTGGGCATGTGCCCTGACTGAGAATCGAACCGGCGATCTTTTGGTGCATGGGTTGACTCTCAACCACTGAGCCACACCAGCCGGGCAGAAAGCAAATTTCTTTACGTATATTATTATAGTAAGCTTGGAAAATAAAGGAAAGTAAAAAAGAAGACCAAAAAACCACTCAATATGTCCATCATTCAAACAATTGCTGTTTACATCCTGATGTATTTTCTTTTTCTTTTTTTTTTTATCCTCAACTGAGAACATTTTTCCATTTTTGTTCAGATAGAGTGGGAAGGAGAGAAAGAGCGAGCGAGAGAGAAACATCGACATGAAAGGGACACATCGAGTGGCTGCCTCCTACACGACCGCAACCAGGGCTGGAGACAAACTGCAACCAAGGCACGTGCCCTTAGCAGTAACCGAACCCGGGTCTCTCTGGACCATAGGCCGACGCTCTAACCGCTGAGCCAAACCTGCCAGGGCCCTGATGTGTTTTCTTATATAAATTTTTCTTGAACCCCTGCTTTTCACTCTTCCTCAAAGGTGAAGAGCCCACTAAATCAATGCTCCTCAAACTACAGATCACGATCCATTAGGATTAATGAGTTGTGAATGAAATTAATGAGTTGAAATCATCATTTAAAAATAAATAAGCAGAGCCCGACTGGTGTGGCTCAGTGGTTGAGCATCAACCCATGCACGAAGAGGTCACTGGTTTGATTCCTAGTCAGGGCACATGCCCAGGTTGTGGGCCCCTCCCCAGTGGGGGACATGCAGGAGGTGGCCAATTAATGTCTCTATCTCTCTCTAAAAATCAATAAAGAAAAAAAATTTAATAAAATAAATAAATAAGCAGAAACCTTAAATAAAAGAGAAACTATCAGAGTATACCACATATAGTGAGGTAAATACAGTTTCATGATAATTTTAATTACATGTGCATATGTGTACACACACACACATACTTAATATGTATACTATAAACTTTTTCTTCTTAGAGTTAGCAGCCAAAGTTTAAAACAAAATGTACTGAATTATAAACTGAATGGGAACAAATACCATATCCTTTTGTTCACCACTCTACCTCCAGGGTCTACCACAGTGCTTGGGACATAGTAGGAATTCAAGTGACATAAGTATCTGCTGGTGAGCCAGTTAATATTGTCAGGATAGTAGCTGACTGAAAAAAAAAAATCAATGAAAAAAAATATATATATTTGGAATTCTAAGTAAATTATCCCAGGCCCTAATTTGGTTTTATCTTAGAATTTTCAGAGTTTGAATCCCCTGTCCTAAAGTCAATATATTACATGAAAAAGCAAGCACTGTTTCTATTTTTCCCCAATCCATGTATTTACTATATGAAACAATCAAAGATGGGTTAGCACAGACACTCATTGGTTTTGTGAAAAACAGCAGAGGCCTGACTCGATGAAAATCCTTCCTAGAGACCCAGGACCATGACAGTATAACATCCTGAAAATAGCCCTGGCCGGTTTGGCTCAGCAGTTAGAGCATCAGCCTGCGGTCCAGAGAGACCCAGGTTCGGTTCCCGCCAGGGGCAGGTACCTCGAGTGCAGTTTGTCCCTGGCCCCTGGTTGGGTCGTGTGGGTGGCAACCACTCGATGTGTCCCTTTCATGTTGATGTTTCTCTCTCTCTCTCCCTCCCACTCTATCTGAACAAAATATCGAAAAATGTCCTCAGGTGAGGATTAAGAAAAAAAAATCCTGAAAATACCAGTAGTATGACAGACCTATGCTCTCCCCTACCACCACCCCTTTTATCCTGAGACATAACTCCTTAGAATCAAACCTGCTTCCTTATAGTATAGGAATGACAGTAATATTCTTAGTCATTGTCAAGAAAAGCATTTTGTGTGTGTGTGTGTGTTTTATCCTCACTGGAGGACATTTTTCCATTTTTTGTTCAGGTAGAGCGGGAGGGAGAAAGAGGAACAGAGAGAGAGAGAGAAACATCAACGTGAAGGGGACACATCGAGTGGTTGCCACCCACACGACCAACCAGGGCTGAGGACAAACTGCAACCAAGGTACGCGCCCTTAGCGGGAACCAAATCTGGGTCTCTCTGGACCACAGGCAGACGCTCTAACCTCTGAGCCAAACCGGTCAGGGCGAGAAAAGCATTTTTTTTAAAGATAAAATTAAGTTACTTTAAAAAAACATTTTTTTTTTTTTAGTGATTTTAGAGAGAGAGAGAGATAGAAATATCAATGAGAGAGAACATCAATTGGCTGTCTCCTGCATGCCCCCACTGGGGATTTGGCCCACAACCAGGACATGTGCCCTGACCGGGAATCAAACTGGTGACCTATTGGTGCATGAGTCGATGCTCAACCACTGAGCCACACCAGCTGGGCAAAATTAAGTTATTTTTTAATCTAATAGCATTTTGCCAATAATAGAGCATTAAGGATTATAAGAAACATGAAGGAAGACCTTTCTATTTAATGAACTTGAGCTATAAGGAAGTGAACGAAGTGCCTTTGAGTGGAAGTCCAGGCTCTACCTATCTGGCTTATAAGAGTTTAGCAGGCTGGCTCTACTTGTTTTTCTGCTTCCTTTTGTGGAAGTTCAAACCAGCTGACTCATAGTTAGAGTCAGTCTCAAGTCAGACCCTTAGATAAGTGACAGCAAAAGGTTTCTGTTAAGTGGCCTTTAAACTTTTCCTTTAACCATAAAAATATGACAAAGAAAGTGTCCCATTAATGTTCAATAAAAGAGACCAAAGATGGCTTATGTCCAAATAGAGTTAAAGGAGGGAGAAAAAAATCCATTTGCTGATCAACTGCTCTGTTCCTCTTGTTAAATAAATCTGAATTAGACACCAAAAAAGAGCTCAAAATATAAATGCTTAAAAACCATTTTAAAAATTGACATCAAAACACTTTTATGGGTCTATTTAGAAACCTAAGTGACGATCTGACTTACCGATGGTGGGGTCATGATCTTCTGGGAATCGGTGGCTGATGAACTGCATGGTCATGGCTTCAAAACAAGAAATGAAAGTTAAAATCCACATAAAGGTGACTGACTGACCCACAGAAAGAATTGTAAGTGTCAACACTGCATGATAACTACTCTCCTATCTAGTCTGAGTGAAGATCATTTAAGAAATTTTCATCCTTAGTTCTTATAGAATGGAAGAAAAATGTCACTTACCACTCTTCCCTACACCACCAGCACCCAGCATCACTAATTTGTATTCCCTTGAGAGCCCTGCAGAGCTGCTACAGCAGCTACCAACTGGGCGAGTTCCAGAATCCATTGTCTTCTTGGAGACTCCTGGGCTGTCTCAAGGAAAGGGCACCTACAAAAAAAGGAGAAAATATTTAATCCAGCCTGGCGACACCACCAGGGCAGTTCCAGTCAGTGTCCTGCCTTGCCATACATACTCTGGCCCATCACTCCTGCTCCCTGCTGGAGTGTTCTGGCGGCCCTAGGAAACCCCACATCCTCACGTTCCCTCCAGGACAGATCGGTCCCATGACACATCACAGGCTTTCCAAGAGAATAATAAAAGACACAAAAGAATTTAGAATTTCTTTCCAGACAGAAGAGAGGAGGAGCTGAGTGCTAAAGTCGAGGTTTAAGGACCAAAGACAGACACAGTGCGGCTCAGGCCACAGGGGTCCTCTCTCACCCGCCTGCCCTCCCCAGGTCCAGCACCCTCCCTTCTTCTCGGGGGCAGCGCCCCTCCCCCAGCGGCTGCCCTGCCGCCATCATGTCCCCCACCCTTCCTACATGAGGAACCCAAATGTTCCTACCTTCAGGACGTGAAGGCCACGACAGGTCCTGGGTAGGACCGATCACCCTTCCCTCTTCCTCCGCGGGCAGGGACACTCCAGCACTGACCTGTGACCCCTCCTGTAGCCGGGGAAGATGGCGCCACGGGCGAGAGGGCGGAGCTGCTCAGTGACGCACAGACCAGCCCAGCCCCCTCCGGGGAGGGACAAGTCCCCTCCAGGTCCTCTAACCAGTTCCTGCAACTCACCACTACCGGGCTTCTGGTAGAGTATCACACTCCAAGTATATACATACAAACATGTTAAAACAATTATCTACACAAGTCAAAAAGGAGGATTTCCAACTTTTCTCATCTCATGGTACACAAAATTACTAAAATTATGTGGCACACCAAAAACTATTTTTGCTGATCTGATAAAATAGGTATTCCTTTTTATTCATTCATAACAGATGGCTATTGTTGTTGGATGTTATTTGACAATCTAAGGTCAGTGCTTCTGACTAGTCAGTATTGCAAATTTTTAAAATTCTCGTTAACACACTAGTTGAAAATCGTTCTAGTTAACCAGAGTTCTGTATTTTTTTTTTTTATTGATTTCAGAGAGAGGTAAACATAGATTTGTTGTTCCACTTATTTATGCATTCACTGGTTGATTCTTCTATGTGCTCTGACTGGACATTGAACACACAACCATGGTGTTATCTGGATGAAATTCTAACCAACTGAGCTACCCAGCCAGGGCTGGAGCTCAGTATTTTAAACATTTGTAAATTAAACCTATTAAAATAATTTTTGTTTTGTTGTAAACAAATGAACTACCCTCCAACAGGAAACCAAATTTGAATTTTCAAGTGGCCTGGAATTAAATATGGAAATAAATGAAGACCTCATCACTATATTCCCCAAATGTGTAAGTACTAGAAGGAACTTTACAGTGGTAAATCTTGTTGAAACTTCTGCCTACCCTACTTCCTTTTTGAGAGTTTGTTTCCAAGAATAATGTGCATTTCCTTTAAAAGTGTTTCATTCACTCAGTTCCTTTAACCATGTTTTACCTCTTGGTGCGTGGGTCTATGCTCAACCACTGAGCCATACTGGCTGGGCCCCTTTAGCCATGTTTAATAAAGAAAGGCTAAAACATAAAAATGGGCCCTGGCTGGTTTGGCTCAAAGGTTAAAGCACCGGCCTGTGGACCAAAAAGTCCCGGGTTCGGTTCTGGCTAAGGACATGTACCTCAATTACAGTTTGTCCCAAGCCCCAGTTGGGGTTGTGTGGGAGGCAACAAATTGATGTCTCTCTCTCACATGATGTTTCTCTCTCTCCTTCTCTTCCCTCTTCTCTCCCTCCCACTCTATCTGAAAATAAATGGAAAATATCCTCAGTAAGGATTAAAAAACAAAATAAAACAGAAAACATTCAGCATAATAGTTCTTTACATTTTCATCTGAACTTCTAAGGGTTTATTTTGGAAAGTCATAAAACTCATAGAACTGTATGCAAACTTTTGGGTCCATGTATTTTTCTGATAGGGTTAGAATGTCATTTTTCTATGAGTAAAAAAGTTGATGAATTTTAGTGTATGGGTGGGTTGTGGAATAAAGAACAGAGAAAACCACACACAGAATATTTATACATTTATTTATAATGACATTATGGTCTAAATATTTACAACATATAGGAAACCAGAGGATAAGTTTGTACAAAGCCAGCCTGCAAAGTATTCAAATGTGCAAAAACGACAGTTCAGTATCTCAAACTACTGATTCAGCAGACTAGCTCCTTCACTTTCACACATCAATATTTGATACAAAAAAGTTCTTTTGGCAAAACCTGTAATGCCAAGAAAAAGGACAAGTTGCAATTTCAGTCATTAAGTCCGCCATCCTATTGCGAGCAGTCGAATCTCTCTATTTTAGCTGCAACCAGTTCTGAGAGAGACAGACCACTGTTTCATTTCTATGATAAATTCTGACCAGCTTTTTGATCAAGTAGTTTTCTCTGACCCAGTTGAAGACAAGAGCTTAGAAGAGCAATAAAAACAGCAATGGCTATCTGAGACAGTGTGCTTGAAGGTGCCAGTTTTGGATTATCCCCTCAAAAAGACACAATGAATAAAGTAACTTCATTTTCCTACCCAGGATCCAGCTATACCTGACAATTTTAAATTAGTAAAACCGCACTTTCCAAAACAGAAAGAATCCAAAAATGGAATAGGGATGAGGAATTTGTAGATTCAGTACTGAAAGGAAAGCATGGTCTTAAAATCATTTCCCCACTAATAAATAGTAAGGCTTGGTTTGTAACAAGGTATTATCAAAACTAACCAAACAGTAGTAAAATACAAATAAACCTGCCTACGTCATAATAGTGACTATTCATTTGGAAAGGCCAGACCAGGTCAAATGTATACTGGAATGACCCTACTGGGATGCTGTGTTGAACAGCATATTTCACAGAGTGTTTAAAAAAAGCTTCTGAGACAAACTTGTGATCCTAAGTACACTTTAACAGATGCTATGCCACTGGAAAAAGAAAAGGATATCTTAAAAAGAATAAAACCCTTTTAAGAAAGGGGACACTGCACCTCTAACTTCTGCAAAGGTCCACGATGGTTCCAAGTACAGGCCAAAGTCTTGTTAAATCAAATGCATGCATTATTGCTAAAGAGTCACCAAGGGTCAAAACTCTGTTCCACTGTTTCCTATGGGGCCATCCAGAATGGCATCTGTTGTTTAGCTCGTGGTTGTGACGATGGGTATTGATATCCCAAACTCCAGCCCTGTGGAAAACTACTTGCATTTTTATGACCCCCATGTTCGTCCTCTTCGTCAGATGAATCTGCAGCATAAGCCACCAAGCCAAATCCTTTCTCTGTTGTTTTCATCTTCTTAACTGGATAATCTAGAATAGAGAAAAACAACCCAAACCCCATTCCCCGACAAGAAAAAAAAAGATAATACCATAAATTCGTTAATTAAAAAAAAATATATGTTAATTTTAAATGGTTAGTTGGACACCATTTTGAGGTCACAGGGTCAGTGGTCGCCCAAAAGCGTTGAAGGTCACACGAAAAACAGCACCAGCATCAGCAAATGTGAATCCACCAGAACCATGTAAGAAAACAGAGAAAGAAAAAAGAGAAACACACACACACACACACCATACACACACACACACACACACACACACACACACACGAAAAAAAAAAAAGAAAAAAAAAAAGAAAGAAAAGAGAAAAGGAAAGTTAGCAAGTAAATCTCTGGAGGCTGATATTTCACCTTTAAAGAAAAGAAGTTAAGAAAAGAAAAAATTTTCTTCTTTCATTTTTATTATGATTACAGGTAAGGAACAAAAATGATCCCAAGTACCTCTACAGAACTTAAGAGTTCTGGAATACTAAGAAGCAACATTTTTTGTAACAGCCACAGACTGACCATTCCCAACCAACAAAGCTATGAGGGGAGATGTGGTTCTGTTACCAATACAAAAAAAACAAAAACAAAAAACAATCGAGTCTGTACCAGATTACCTCCAAATACTTAGACAGCAAGGCAACAAAATTCTAAAACGACCTACCAATCATTAGTATTTCCTAGGGTTTCAATGTCACTGATATTATGTATACATTATAAATCGACTGACTTTTCTAGACACTCACCAAATAAAAAAAAAAAATTCTGTGTAACTATATGCTGTCCATATGAATTAAAAAAAGCATTCTCATTAGATTATAGAGGTTTGAATTAAATGTATCACACCTGAATGAACATCAGGTTAGAAAACTAACAGCTTAAGACCAGTCTTAGCCACTCCCTTAGTCCCCCAGTTAAACCTTACTCACCATGGTTCCCTGTTAAGGTCCCAGACCCATTCCTTTCATCAGACTCTGATTTAATTCCAGTCACTGGAAAGGCTGGTGGAGGCATCAACTGCCTGTTAGGGGGAGGAAAAAAAAGAAAGAAAGAAAGAAACACTCTTTCAGACAAATTTAATCGATTCAAAATTCTCCAGTAGATAACAAGTGGAGTAACAGTACAGTTTACAGATAATCTTTCAAGTTCATATTCACCATTAATTTCAACCTTCAAGCTTTTGGGGGGGGGTGGGGGGGTGGTACATGCCCCTAGCGGAAACCCAACCCGAGACTCTGTGGTCCACAGGTCGATGCTCAACCGCTGAGCCAAACTGGCCAGGGCCCTTTAAGCTATTTTCAAGTTGTAAGATTATGAGACTTTGTTTACATAGCCAGGCCATGCCAAAATCAAAAGGAACTGTAGTGGGAAGTGAGCTCCCTCTTAAGGCTAATAACAATATAGGGAGAATTCAAGCACTGGATGGCAGGCTGGACTCCCATTCAAGTACCTCCATCCATGATACTATGATTCTAAGTAGCAAAAACAGTTTGATTTCATTAACTACTGCCCACCGTTAAAAAAAATGGCCAAGATGCAGACAATGAAAGTAAAACAAGATGCCTAAATAAGCAATCACTAAATTATTTAAAGCTAAGTATAACTGCTTCTAAGACTGGGGAAGTCATATCATTGAGCTTGTTTATCCAACTGATTTCATTTCAGTTTTTGAAAATAGAAGCTCATAGCAATGATCATTATTTACACTAATGGTGAAAACAAAAAAAAAGACATATGAATATATTCATATAATTATGTTCCAACTAACTTACCTGTCCCTCTCTCGCTCTTTGCCTGAGGAACTTGCCGGCTTCGATCCTGCACCTTCAATCTCATTCTGACTGGAGAAGCCTGTACCTAAATTAGTCATATGAATGGGTCCATGCTATGAGCAGAAAAATACATTGGCATTAGCAAATCTACAACTGCTGCATTGACTTTAGCTCCTTAATGTAACTGTCAAGTACCTCGTCTTTCTGATAAATTGCAGTAAGCTGTACTACACAGCTCCCTGGGATTTGGAGAATAACTATAGTCAAAGTAGAGATTATTTTTCTGTTGGGATGGATGGTCAGGAATGTTGTGATTCATTATGCTATGACTATCTGTTTTCAACTATCCATAACTTAACTGGTTTGTATAAACCTAGTTATAAACTATAAAAATACTTCAAAGTTTGTTTCAAAAGAATGCTTCAAGGATTCTGGCAAAAAGTAAAGGTGCTCCTTCTGATAAAACAAAATTGCACCAAAACTACATATTTTAATCCTCAGTGAATGATTGTGTTTATGACTATGTGTATGCACAGATTCACTGCATTTCTGACACTTGAGGGGAGGGGCACTGGAGGAAAAAAAAAAATCATCCTCTTTTGTTTAGGAGGAGGAAAAGGGAATAAAGCCAAGATTTTAAATATAAACCACACATTGGTAGAATGAGCTTTCAGTGAGATGTATAGGAAAGTAGGAACTATCAGAGGCTTGCAAGAGTATGAATAAGAGAAGTCTAGAATTCTACAAAACTCCTTACAGATGTTTGTCAGAGATCTCACTAGGTGGAAAACTTTGTATGCCCAACGACACAACCCGCTGAGAAGGAATCGTCCTTGCTTTAAATTGATACCCTAAGGATAGAAACCTAATCTAAGTAGATTCCAGAAAGCAGAAATTCTAGTCTTTGGAAGGACAGTCGATATAGATGTGAATTTATCTTTATTTAAAGGGAGAATATAGAAGAGAAGGAAAGTAAAACAGGGTATTTTATTTAACCTGGTATCCAAGAAGTCCAGATTCTCGTTCATCTGGTAGCTCCTCTGTGAATCTCCTCTTCTGTGCCTGGGGTTGAGTTGGGAGTGGGGGCTGGGGCTGGGGCTGGGGCTGGGGCTGGGGCTGAGAGCCAGCAGGCAAGGCAGTTTTGACAGGAGTAGCAGGAATAAAAGGCCCACTCATCGGACTCTGGTACCAAAACAAACCAAGGGGTAAAAACACGTGAGAATCCCAGCTAATGAAGAAGTAAACAATGAAACAATGATTACAATATACGTTAATAGCCAATATATATCATATGAATCTTTCACCATCTGGTTCTTAAGTTTCCTTCATGTATAGTTTGCTAGCGTTCCCACATTCATGGTAGAGAAACATGAAATGCTAATTTCTATAGATATGAACTCTTACGAAAAACCGGTTGTGCATTTGAGCTATTAGGAGCAAATATAACCATTAACAAAAACCACCATTTGACGTAGTTCAGAAGTTACCAAGCAAGAATACTCTTATGTAAAGCCCTTCAATCAGCCCGGTCAGTATGACTCATTGGATTGAGCAGCATCCCATGGACTGAGAGGTCCCAGTTCAATTCCTGGTCAGGGCACAAGCCCGGGTTGCAGGATTGATCTCCAGTAGGGAGCGAGTAGGAGGCAGCCGATGTTTCTCCCCTACATTGATATTTCTATCTCTTTATCCCCTTCCCCTCTCTCTTAAAAACAAACAAAATAAATAAATATATATAATGTGTATGTGTGTGTGCACACACACACACACACACACACACATCAACTAAAAAACATATTTTTTTTAAAGCCCTTCAATGTGACTAGCTCTTTCTGGGTCATAAATTTTGCTAATGCTTGTGGCAAAGGCAAGTTCATTTACTACATCCATGAGTAAGTTGTTATGTCAAGAGCAAGTCTGTCGAATCTAAGAGGTTGTTTCAAAAAGGAATAAGAGGTCATCAAAAGACAATATACATTAAACAAGCACTTATAAAAGAAAAACTCTCTCCTGGCCGGTTTGGCTCAGCAGTTAGAGCATCAGCCTGCAGACCCGAGAGTACAGGTTTGGTTCCTGCTAAGGGTACATACCTCGGTTGCAGTTCGTCCCCAGCCCCGGTTGGGGTCGTGTGGGTGGCAACCACTCGATGTTTCTCTCTCTCTTCCTCCCTCTCTCCTTCCGCTCTATCTGAAGATAAATGCAAAACTGTCCTCAGGTGAGGATAAAAAAAATATTTAATTTAAAAAAAAAAAGGAAAACTCTTATGAATAACAAATGGTAATATTTACTGACTAGTTGGATCATCTTAATCCTTGAAACCCTTTGAGATATTATGATTATACTCATTTTATTGATTTTTGTTTAAGTGAGAGAAACAGCAATGTGAGAGAGAAACATCAACTGGCTGCCTCTCATACGCACCCTGACTGGGGATCGAACCCGCAACCTGGATATGTGCCCTGACCAGAAATTAAACTGGCAACCTTTCAGTGCACAGGATGACGCTCCAACTAACTGAGCCACTCCAGCCAGGGCTATGCCCCTTCTACACAGAAAAGAAAACCAAAGCCTAGATATCTTATGTCATATCCTAATATCACACAGTTCAAAAATGGGAAAGCACAATGAATCCTGCCAGTCTATCTCTAAACCCCAACAGTTAATTACTCTGCTATACTGCTTTCTAGTTACAAAAGAATGTGGCTCAAAGCTGGAGACCTACATAGCTCTATTTAAATATAAAAGGTAAAACAGCCCTGGCCGGTTTGGCTCAGCGGTTCGAGCATCGACCTGCGGTCCAGAGAGACCCGGGTTCGGTTCCCGCTAAGGGCGCATACCTCGGTTGCAGTTTGTCCCTGGCCCTGGTTGGTCGTGCGGGTGGCAGCCACTAGATGTGTCCCTTTCACGTCAATGTTTCTCTCTCCCTCTCTCTCCCTCCCACTCTACCTGAACAAAAAATGGAAAAATGTCCTCGAGTGAGGATAAAACAAAAAAAAGATAAAATAATTATGACTAGGGACAACAACAAAATTTAGTCCAGAAGTTCTTTTTTGTTTCACACTGTACAACCCCCTTCAGTGCTAACAGCTCACAGGTAAGGAGCTAAGCAATGGTTCGAGGCAGCAATTTACTCTGGCATGAGTACACTATGGGAGGCCCACAAAGAAGAGCCTACCATAAATCCATTACCATGCTCGGCTTTTGTTTTTTTTTAAATCCTCACCCGAGGATATTTTTCTATCTTCAGATAGAGTGAGAGGGAGAGAAAGGGAGAAACATTGACACGAGAGGGACACATCGACTAATTGCCTCCCACACGACCCCGACCAGGGCTGAGGATAAACCACAACTAAGGTATGTGCCCTTGACTGGAATCGAAACTGTGACTCTTTGGTCCTCGGGCCGATGCTCTGACTGCTGAGCCTAACCAGCCAGGGCTATTACCATGCTCTTTCATTAGCCTCTCCCCTGCCTCTAAGGATTGTATATAATGCATCTAGATGAACTAGCTGCCTACTCATTTCCTAAAATTCAGGTTTCTTAGTTTGAGAAATAGATACCAGCACTTACAATCCTTAAAAGTTTGGTGAGTTCACATATATCTTGGCCTAGAACACCTGTACATGGTATATTTTGAACACTGGCAATTCCATTCCAATCATCCAGAGTATAGTATAGGTCAGCCCCCTGCCCCTTGAGGACTTTTATTTTTATTTACTTATTTTTTTCTGCTTTTACTTTTATTGGTCTTTATTTTATGCTGAATTTACTCCCGGGCCATAAGTTTTTGTTTCTTCAGTTTCTCCTGTGCAACCTCTTCTGGTTTAGGAACAATCTGCTCTTTCTCAGTGAGGATCATCTCAATGTGGAAGGGAGAGCTCATGTATGGGTTAATCCACCCAAGAGCTCTGTAAGTTCTGTGCCACATCTTGGGAGCTTTGTTTACCTGGATGTGCTCAATGACCAGAGAATCTACATCTAAACTCTTCAGTTCAGCATCGCTCTCTGCATTTTTAAGCATGTGCAGCAAAAACTCAGCACTCTTTTGGGGCCACCATCCCTGTGTCCAGCCCCACTGTTTCACTTGGACACACCTACAAACTCCATCATTGTAAGGATGGAAAGGCACACATTGCTTCTGTAAAGTGACGTCCTTCAGATACTTGGTGGCTTTTCGAATATGCATACCTTTGATGGCCTGGGCAGTTCCATGAATGTTCTTAAAGTGAACACAAAGATTTGAACCTCTTGATTTGCACGATTTTGTGGAATTTTCTGGGTCAAGCGAATAGTGAATCATTTTTAGAGGTCACTTCTGGCCGCTTTCGGGAAGAGGAAGAGAGCCCCTTGAGGACTTTTAAACACAGGCAAATGATGGTCCACAATATGGCACACTATGACCCTGGCCAGCTACCTATTTTTGTCAATCAAGTGTGACTGGCACACAGACCTGCATGTTTGTTTGGTATTGTCTACGGCTGCTTTTGAGCTACAACAGCAGAGTTGCAGTAGCTGTGACAAAGACAACATGGCTCACAAAGCCTAGAATATTCACCATTAGGCCCTTTGTAAAAAGCTTGCCAACTCCTGCTCTAAACAATAAGGTTGCAAAATGCATGAAACTAACTGTGAACTTCAGGATGAATAGACACGTACACACTATTCCAAAGTATTCAAGTAGTTCATTGGTGGTAACACAGGAAGGTGATAACCTGGCTGGGTACCTTGGTTTGTTAGAGCATTGTCCCAACACACCAAGGTTTCAGGTTTGACCTCCGGTCAGTGCACAAACAAGAATCAACCAACGGCCCTGGCCGGTTTAGCACAGCGGTTAGAGCATCAGCCTGTGGACCAATGAGTCACGGGCAATTCCGGTCAAGGGCATGTACCTTGGTTGCGACGGATCTCCAGCCCTGGTTGGGGTCATTTGGGAGGCAGCCATTCGATGTGTCCCTTTTATGTCAATGTTTTTCTCTCTCTCTGTTCCTCTCCCTCCCACTCTATCTGAACAAAAATGGAAAAATAACCTCGGGTGAGGATAAAATAAAGAATCAGCCAATGAATGTGTAAATAAATGGAACAACAAAATCAAAGTATGTTTCTCTCTCCCCTCAATCTCTCTATCTCTCTAAATCAATTTAAGCCCTGGCTGGTTTGGCTCAGAGGTTAGTTAGAGTGCCGGCCCGCGGACTGGAGAGTCCCGGGTTCGGTTCCCGCTAAATGCACATACCTTGGCTGCAGTATGTCCCCGGCACCAGTTGGGGTTGTGTGGGTGGCAGCCACTCAGTGTGTCTTTGTCACATAGATGTTTCTCTCTCTCTCTTCCTCGCTCTCTCCCTCCCGCTCTATCTGAAGATGGATGCAAAAATGTCCTCAGGTGAGGATTAAATAAATAAATAAATTTTTAAAAACTTTAAAAAGAATAGGCCCTGGCCAGTTTGGCTCAGCAGTTAGAGCGTCGGCCTGCGGTCTGGAGAGACCCGGGTTCGGTTCCCACTAAGGGCACGTACTTCGGTTGCAGTTTGTCCCCGGCCCTGGTTGGTCGTGCGGGTGGCAGCCACTCGATGTGTCCCTTCACGTCGATGTTTCTCTCTCTCTCTCCCCCTTCCTCTCTCTCCCTCCCACTCTATCTGTACAAAAAATGGAAAAATATCCTCGGGTGAGGATAAAAAAAAAAAAAAAAGAATAGGAAAACAGTATCTTCTTACATTACATGATTTCTGAATAAAACCACTACCTTTCCAAACCCCTTCCCTGCCCCTCATTTCTTCTAATTCAGTGGTATCATGTTTCATATTCTGGCATCTTACCTGTCCAGTGCTAGCTGGAGGCTGCACTTGTGTTATCGGGTATTGTGTTGGCACAGGTGGGACTCCAGTAGGTAATGCTGGCAAGACTCCAGGTGCCAATGAAACAGCTGGTGGCACTATGCTTGGTACTCCATAGGGAGGCTGAATTGGCTGCTGAGGAGGGGGAACAACAGGGTAACCAGACTGATAGCCATTGGATGGATAATATGGTGGTTGAGGAGGGACACTACTTATAGCAGAGGGTTGTGTATAGCCTGAGGGGGAAGAAAAAAAGTGTTTAATCAGCTGCAGCAGAATGAGACATTTTAGCTGAATATTAAACTTAATCTTTAGGGAAGAAAAATACTGAGGCACAAATGGCTTTCCAAATTACCCTAAGTTGAAGGGAACACTATTAGTGCCCTGGCACAGTTAGTCTAGCCTCAAGTATCATTATTTTATTCATAAATATCACTAGCAAAATATTTTTAGTTAAACACTTTAAGACATACACACCTGGTAAAGGTACAGCAGTATTAATCTGATTCACAAATCTAGAATATTCAGCATGAACCTGAAAGAGAAGGGAAAACAAATATGGGACAGTCCTAATTTACTAATTATAAGGGGTCTGATTATACAACTTGAAGAACAAAGCAATTAAGAATTAAAATGTTTCCATTGATGTTTCAATCAAATTTAGACTTGTTTATTCGTTTAATTTTTTAAAAAATGTTTTTACTGATTTTTTTTTCTTTTGATATTTTTGTTCAGATAGAGTGGGGGGGGGACATCGATGTGAAAGGGACACATCAAGTGGCTGCCACCCTCACGACCCAACCAGGGCTGGGGACAAACTGCAACCGAGATACATGCCCTTAGCGGGAACCGAACCCGGGTCTCTCTGGACCGCAGGCTGACGCTCTAACCGCTGAGCCAAACCAGCCAGGGCTTTACTGATTTTTTAGAGAGTGAGATAGAAACGTTGATGAGAGAGAAACATCGATCAGTGTCTCCTGCATAGCCCCCTACTGGGGATCAAGCCCACAACCAGGGCATGTGCCCTGACCGGGAATCAACCAGTACCTCTCAGTCCATGGGACGACGCTCCATCCACTGAGCCACACCGGCCAGGCTAGACTTATTTATTCTTTTACTTACTGAGTGACCCTATCCTCAAGCTCACTGTTTAATAAATGTTTAGCACTTCACCCTCTCCAGGTTTCTTTTTTAATCCTCAATCAAGGATTATTTTCCCACTGATTTTTAGAGAGAGTAGGAGGGAGAAGGGGGGGTGAGAGAGAGAGAGAGAGAAACATTGATGTGAGAGAGACACATGGATTGGTTGCCTCCCACAGAACTCTGACTGGGGTGGGGATCAAATCTGCAACCAAGGTATATTTATGTGCCCTTGAATGGGAATAGAACCCGAAACTCTTCAGTCTGCAGGCCAACCACGCTCTAACCACTGAGCAAAACTGACCAGGGTGCCCCTCTGGGTTTTCATTGCAAGCATCTTACTAAGTCCATAACTTAAGTAACAACAAGGAAAAAAACAGGAAATGATCAGGGAAGTTATCTGGAACAAGGGCTGGTAAATCAGGTTACTTCACAATGGCAAAGAAAACAACATCCCAAAAGATCACCCTTCAATATAAAATAACACAAGGCCGAAATCATTCAACCCCCAAACCTAATTTTTTTTAGGTGCTATAAAAACAACCCTATGGCCCTGGCCGGTTTGGCTCAGAGATTGGAGTGTCAGCCCGCAGACTGGAGAGTCCCGGGTTCGGTTCCTGCTAGGGGCACGTGCCTTGGTTGCAGTTTGTCCCTGGCCCGGTTGGGGTCATGTGGGTGGCAAACACTCGATGTTTCTCTCTCTCTCTTCCTCCTACTCTATCTGAAGATAGATGCAGAAATGTCCTCAGGTGAGGATAAAATAGAAAGAATGAATAATCAAATAAGCAATTATGCTAAAGGCAATACAAATTGGTTTTAAACTACTACAGCTCTACCCTTACTTTAGCTAAATCTAATATTAAAAAGAATTTGGGGCCCTGGCCAGGTAGCAGCTCAGCTGGTCAGAGTGTTGTCCCAGTAGACTGAGGTTGTGGGTTTGATCCTAGGTCAGGGTATATACAAGCAACCAATGAATGCATAAACAAATAAGTAACAAATCAATGGTTCTCTTTCTCTAAAATCAACTTAAAAAAAAATTTGGAATGTCCATCCTAATGACTTGACCAGGATTAAAATTATTCACCTAAATAACTGACAACATTGAGATTTTATGGTATTGATGTACTATGTATTTCAAAATTCCATACTGAAACAGTTCCTGAAGAAGAAATGCATGCCAACTGTGATCCTGGCTAGGGGAATGTGACCTCCTTAAAGAGAATGTTGGTTGCTAGAATGGTGTAAAGGTTTGAATAGTGTTCACACCAAAATTCATGTCTGCCTAGAACTTCAGAATATAATTTTATTTGGAAACAAGGTCTTTGCTTTGTAGATTGTTAAAATGAGGTAAAACTGGACTAGAGTGGGCCCTAAATCCAAAGACTATCAGATACAGAGATATAGGGAAAAAGGCCAGGTGAAGATAGAGGCAGAGATTGGAGTTAAGCTGACACAAGGTAAAGAATGCCAAGGAGTATAGGCAATCATAAGACACTAGGAGAGAGGCGTGAGATGGATTCTCCCACAGAGCTTCCAGAAGGAACCAACCCTGCCCATACCTTGATTCTGGACATATGACTTCCTGAACTGTGAGAGAATGAATTTCTGTTGTTTTAAAATACCCAGTTTGTGCTAATTTTGTGTGGCAGCCTAGGAAACTAATACAGGTGGCATAAATTGCTAAGACAGTGCAAAACGGCAGTAGTTGTTGAGTGAGCATCAGACAGACAAATATAACTCACTGTTTGCAAGAGATTCTCACAGAGCTTCTTGGCAGCAGCAAGGCCTTCTGGTTTGGGATGACTGCAAAGAATTAAGAACCAAGAATTCAAAGGGAAGAAAAATAAAGGATACAGGATTCTGCTTTCACTTTGTATGCTGCCTTATAAGATTAATATATTCAATGTAGCACAAACCTAAGCTCCTGAAAACCACAAAAAATGTTATAAGCCCTTTAAAGTATAAGTGGTATTATTACCACATTACTTTATTGGTCTTTCTCTGAGTAACAGTATTTCTTGATATAAAGAAGACATTTTTGCCAGGGCCGGTTTGACTCAGTGGTTACAGTGTCGGCCCACGGACCACTGAGACCAGGATTCAGTTCCCGCTAAGGGTGTGTTTCTCAGTTGCAGTTTGTCCCCGCCCCGGTTGGGGTTGTGTGGGTGGCGACCACTCGATGTGTCTCTCTCACGTCGATGTTTCTCTCTCTCTCTCTCTCTCTCTCTCCCTCCTGCTGTATCTGAAGATAAATGCAAAAAATTTTCTCGAGCCCTGGCCGGTTTGGCTCAGCAGTTGAAGCGTTGGCCTGTGGACCAGAGAGTCCCGGGTTCAGTTCCTGCTAGGGGCACGTACCAAAAAAAAAAAAAAATTTTCTCGGGTGAGGATTGAGAAAAAAAGACATTTTCAAATACTGTGATAGGTTTAAGTCAAAGTTACTGCAAGCTCATAATAGCTCATTTTAGGATCAGACTTGTATAAAACCCAAGGACTTGAATACTAAAAAAGATACCTCCTAATCCAACAATTTTCATTAACTAATTATAAAGTGATTACGCCTAGTTTTCACCAAAGTTCCTCATGCTACTACTTATTAAGCCCCCTTTTTTTGAATCATTGCTGTCTGTACTACTGACAAGGATTCAAGTGTTCTCAGCTCCATCCATACCTGATGTAAATATACATGGGTTCAAAAGCTTCTCGGCCAGATGCTGGCTCAATGCAGCCTGAACCCTTGCCTCGTAGAAAGACTTTGGCACCCGTTTCAATCTGAATGTGCTGCAGATAGGAGCAGCCTGGACCTTCCACTTTCTCTTTGACATTAAAAGTGGGAACAGCATGTTCTAGACCCACGAACAATTTATCTTGAACATAATGCATCTATAAAACAACAGAATACCTCAGGTTAAACACAGAATACATAATTATATTCTAATCTTGGAAATCATTATACAAAACATTTCAATTCTCCAGCTACTTTTAATCAATTCCAGAATAAGATTCCTCCATAATTTCTACCAAGATCCCATAAAAATAAACCCTATCAAATAGCTTAATTTAAATGAGAACTACAGTCTACATACCTACCTACAACATTAACACCTTACTATGTCCAGCACAATCTATTTAAGAGGTCAAAACCCAATACTGAGTAAGCATACCCACTTCCTCACAACAGATATATGTTAAGAAGTTATAGCATGCCTGGCCATTGTGGCTCAGTAGTTGAGCACCAACCCATGCACCAAGAGGTCACCAGTTTGATTCCGTCATGGCACATACCCAGGTTGTGGGCCTGATCCCCAGTGGGGGCATGCAGGAGGCAGCCAATCGATGTTCTCTCTCGTCAATTTTTTATCTCTCTCTCCCACTCCAGTAATATCAATATAGAAAAATTTTTTTTTAAATTATAGCAAAGACGGTTTCCAGTAAAACTGGAGTAGAATGTTGGGTAGTACAGTGAGCCCTATAATATTCTCCAAATAGGACCGCTCTCTCCAACCCTTTTTTCTAGGAGGATTGTATCAGCAGAGCCTTGCTTCATCAGACTCAGCCTTCTTAGTCCTCCAGTTACCATCAAGTTTACAAATATAAATTCAAACCACTAACGTCAAATGTACAATGTGCATACTCTAAATGGTTCATTAATATGATCAATAGTGGGTAACTCTCAGGATTTTATTTTTTTTCTTCAAAATTTCTGTATTTGGCACATATCATTTTTTATAGAAATGCTAAACCTGCTAATGATCTCTCCACAAAACATACCCCTGACTGGAAGGGAGGCTTCTGGCTAACAGCAGGAGACACCTGTGTAATGGGTGCTGGTTGGTGATAGACAGTGACTGTTGCACCATTAAAAGTAGGACTTGTCCCCGTGGCAGCTTTCACCACCCCGTTGGTGATAATTTCTTTAATTCGGTTTACAGCTCCTAGGGAAAAACACAGAGTAAGATAATATACCAAAAAACTGAATGAACTGACTAGTACCCAGTGATAAACATAGGCCAGTACTCAATTATTCAAGTATTAATTTATTGTATAGGTGGCCCAAGTGTTCAGCTCCCAAACTCTCTAAACCCCTATGTATATTCATGGGTAGTTGATAAACAATATTACACACAGCCCTGCACTTTGCCTTTCACAAAAAGTGACGTGAGCCAAAAACATTACTTACTGTCCACTAATTCCCGTGTCTGGCCCTGAACATGAAGATATAAAGGACGATCCCTATAAAGACAAATATAAAATGATGATCCCAAACTGGTCATAACCAAAGAAAGAGCTAAATGAGTCACCAAAACTACTTTGTAACATTTAAAGATTCTAAGTAAGTAAAAGGGACTATATAGTAAAATGGCTGTTGCTAATTTCTAAGAGCATGGTTTAACAGTGGGGGAATGAATAAACTCTTCTGGTTGCTTAAAGTTAACTGGCTCACATGGGGATCAAATTTGTTCTTATGAGCTCATGAATACTAGTATCTAGTCAATTGAGATAACTCAGTGTTTGAGAACAGAATTCCTTTTCGTTAGTTGTGCAACAGGTTATGAGCAAATGTGCTCTTGGCTATTCAAATTAATGGGGACAAAGTGATGGTAGCATAAATAAAATTTCTTTGAAGGCCCACACTAGCTAAGACTCTTTAATTACGAATGTAAAAGTGGCTTAGATTCAGATTTTGATAATAATAAAAAAGTGATCAATAACCATATAGCTAATAAAAAGCTATAGGCAAAAAAAACCCACAAAACTTTATTTTTTAAAATATATTTTATTGCCCTGGTCGGTTTGGCTCAGCAATTAGATCGTTGGCCCTTGGACCAAAGATTTGCAAGTTCAATTCTCGACCACACATAGATCTTTCTTTCTTTCTCTCTCTCCCCCCCAATCTAAAAATCAATGGAAATATATCCTTGGGTAAGGATTAAAAAAATACATACACACATTCTTAATTTGAGAGAGAGAGAGAGAGAGAAACAGTAATGCGAGAGCAAAATATGGATCGGTTGCCTCTTGCACGCCCCCTACCAGGGAACAAGCCTGCAACCTATGCCCTGACAGGGAATCAAACCGGCAACCTTTCAGTGCACAGTATGATGCTCAACCAACTGAGCCACATCAGCCAGGGCAAAAATAACTGTGTTTAAAGACAAGTTTGAAACAGCAACCAGCACATATAAAGTTGAACTTTACTCTTGATTTGGGGAGCAACTTTTGACCTCCCGATTATATTTAGTTTAAACCAATGTTAAAATGTTGTTTTGCCCTGGCCAGGTGGTTCAGTTGGTTGGAGCGCTGTCCCATACACCAAAAGGTTATGTGTTCAATTCCCAGTCACAGCACATACCTAGGTTGCAGGTTTGATCCCCAGTGGGAATCAGTATAGGAGGCAACCAATTAATGTTTCTTTCCCACATCGATGTCTCTCTCTCACCCACTTCCTCTCTCTCTGAAAAATCAATAAAAACCTATCACTGGGTGAGGATCAAAAATTCATAAAATTGAATACTGGAAGGGATGAAACTAAACTGAGATAAATCTTTACAAGAATAACCTACATCTTGTAGTCATCAGAGAGTCATTAAAAAGCCTGATAAAAAATTTTTTTTAAAGGAAGATTACATCAAAGTATTGAAGATTACATCATTCACTGAGGGGGAAATACTTCTTTTACACTTTTGTGTAACTTGTTGTCTTCAATAAAAACACTGCAGAAAAAAGAAACCCAAAGCACAACAGAAAAGAGAGTAACTGCAACACTTCTTTTATCTGTCAAAGATGTCCTGAGTTCTGCAATAAAGCAAATATGTATACACACACACAAATATACACATACATGTATATCTACTAACCAAAGTAGCTACTGCATAAGCTACTAATCAAACACACATACTCCCTAAGAGTACAAAATATGAAGCTAATGTGAGTCGTATACCCAGCCCTTCCCCAAAGTAGAGGATATGCATACACACCCTGGTCCCACTTTGGCCTTCTCCTCAGTAGTCATAAACCTCCCTCGAGTTGACACTGCAGCCCCACTAAGTCGGCTGATCTAAAAAGGAAACTTTATATTAAAAGATGATGTGACAATTGATTGACTTCAATGACAGGTAGCAGTATAGATTTTCCCCATCAATCTATTCCACCAATAAGGCAGAAATGAGTTCTCTCTGATCTCTGAAATTCTAGTTCCATAGTTTACTACTCAGACTAACCCAGAGAATTCATACATATCTTTTTCTTTACTTTCGTTAAAAAGTTCCTATGCAGTTAAATCAAACCCAACCCTGACTTTGGAGACTATGACCCAAATCCACTAATAAATATCTGACTCACATTTGTCTGTATTTCATAGTCTTATTTTTCTGAAACCACACCCATTTGCCACATTCCCCAAAGCCCAACAACTCCACACCTCGTCCTGAGTTTGTCCTCGAGTCAGCAAGTTCCTACATGTGAGAGGCACATCATTGATCTCTACTTCAGCTACCACCAGGTCATCCTTGCTTTTACTGCTAGTTAGGCCTTTTCCAGGGGCCTGAAGCTACAAAAAGAGAAATAAGATTAAAAAGTTTATATGACAAAATAATACCATTCAAATGCCCTATTTACAAGTACACCTTCCCAAGTCCTGCCACCTCCTTATATTCCCTTTACCTTCCTGCAAACATACTTGGAAACAATCCTTGGCCTTTCTTCATAAATGAAATAACAAGCAAATAAAACATCACCAAAATGATACCAAGTACAATCAATTTACTTGAAGGCTGCCATCAGATTTCTCCTTGGTCATGTGTGTATTTTTATGATGGTGTAATTACAGAAACTCTATGGATTAGAAGCTGCTGTCTCCAAAAGAAAAAGGGCCAAGTCATGATGCTTTACAGCTCAATTAGCTAGGTATGTGTAGTAAAATACAGTGTAGAGTTCATTGCACAACGCACAATTCATATATCACATATGTGTAATGGCAAGTTGCCTTTGTGCCAACACTACAATCACAACACATCAAATTCAACTAATTCCATCCTTGCAATATCAAAACCCTTAAATTGGCCCTGGCCAGTGTGGTTCAATTGGTTGCAGGGCACATACCCAGGTTGCAGGTCTGATCCCATCTGGGCACATGCAGGAAGCAACTGATTGGTATTTCTTTTTTTTTTATCCTCACCTGAGGATATTTTTCCATTTTTTGTACAGATAGAGTGGGAGGGAGAGAGAGGAAGGAGAGAGAGAGAGAGAAACATCGATGTGAAGGGACACATCGAGTGGCTGCCACCCGCACGACCAACCAGGGCCGGGGACAAACTGCAACCGAAGTACGTGCCCTTAGCGGGAACCGAACCCGGGTCTCTCCGGACCGCAGGCCGACGCTCTAACCGCTGAGCCAAACTGGCCAGGGCTGATTGGTATTTCTCTCCCTCTCCCTCCTTCTCTCTAAAATCAATTCACATCAATGTTTCTCTCTCTCTCTCAAATCAATTTTAAAAATCCTTAAATTGCATCTAATTAACATTCCATTGCCTTACTCTCTCTCTCTCTTTTTAAATCCTCTCCTAAGGATATTTTCTCAAATATCTTCTAGAGTGGGAGGGGGGGGGAGAGAGAGAGAGAGAGAGAGAGAGAAATATCGATGTAAGAGGGACACATTGATTGGTTGCCTCCTGAATGACCCCAACCAGGGCTGGAGATGAACCGCAACGGAGGTACATGCCCTTGGCCAGAATCAAACCTGTGACTCTTTGGTCTGTGGGCCGAAGCTCTAACAGCTGAGCCAAACCAGCCAGGGCCCATTACTCTCTCTTAAGGAAGAACAAAGAAATTGGGAGAAAAGCCAAATAAGATCCTAAAACCTGAGCTGATTTCTCTCAATTTAAATTACAGGCAACTCCAGATGGTTGGATTTTAGTGTCATCTGAAAAAATTTTATTCTCAACACAGCCCTCCCCAACTTTAGCTGCCCTGGACCAATGTTTAACAAATCTGCTCAAGGAAGGTAAAATACAGTTTATTTCTTTGTGTATTAGATACATTTTCTAAATCTAGAGGCAAACTAAATAGACACAACAGTATCTCCTTACCTTTGTTTAGTCCCCTTCAGTAGGCATCATACATCTTATCCCACTGAATCCTTATGGCTTCCTTTAAAGGTACATATCAGTGTTGTCCAAAAGAACTTTCTGTGATGATGTAAGTGTTCTCTAGCTGGCAGTCCAATATGGGTACCACTAGCCATGTCTACTGAGCACTTGAAATGTGGCTAGCAAGACCAATTTTAAATTTTATTTTTAATTCAAATTTATATAGCCACATGTAGCTAGTAATTGCAGGACTTTTCTGCACTGGTATATAATATCAACCACATTACAGATGAGAAAACTGAAGCTCATCTGTCAAAGCCACCCAACCAGTAACTGGGGATTCTGGGTTTCACACATAGGTATTCAGATTCTAAATCCAGTATTTATGTACCATGCTGTCTCCTGCTGAGTTCATTTAGTTCATTTATCATTTTAAAGATTACTTTTTAGAGAAAAAAATGTCTAAATAATTAACATCAGTATTAAGAATTTTAATATTCAAGGAGCATTCCCTCTTCCTCAGTATCCTTTTAATATTTCCTTTTATGCCAGTTGATTTCTCAAAAGAAACTTTGCAGGCCAGAAAGGAATGGCAAGAGATATTCAAAGCGATGAAAAGTAAGCACCTACAACCAAGATTACTCTATCCTGCAAAGCTATCATTTAGACTTGATGGCCATATAAAGAGTTTCCCAGACAAGAAAAAGCTAAGGAGTTCATCACCACCAAACCAGCATTATACGAAATGTTGAAGGGTCTTCTTGAAGGAGAACAAAAAAAAACCATGAACAGCCCTGGCCGATTTGGCTCAGCGGTTGGAGCGTTGGCCTGCGGACCAGAGAGTCCCGGGTTCGGTTCCCGCTAGGGGCACATACCAAAAAACAAACAAACAAACAAAACAAAAATATGAACAATAAAAATGGCAATTAATACATATCTATCAACTGAACCTACAAACAAAATGAACAAGCAGAAAAGAAACAGACTCATAGATACAGAGAACTTTTTGTTGCTTGCCAGATGGGAGGGGACTGGGGGGATGGGTGAAAAAGATGAAGGAATTAAGAAGTACAAATTGGTTGTTAGACTGATGAACCTCAAAGGGAAGGGGAGGGAGATCAGGATGAGATAAACCAAAAAACATATATGCATATATGCATAACCAATGAACACAGACAATAGTGTGGGGAAGGTAGGAGGGGAGCAGGATAGGGGAGGAGGGAGTCAATGGGAAAAAAAGAGGAGGGAGCCCTGGCCAATTTGGTTCAGGGGTTAGAGTGTTGGCCTGTGGTCCAGAGACCCAGGTTGGGTTGCAGCTAAGGGCATGTACTTCAGTTGCAGTTTGTCCCAGGCCCTGGTTGGGTAGTGTGGGTACAACCACTTGATGTGTCCCTCTCACATCGATGTTTCTCACTCTCTCTCTCTCTCTCCTTCCCACTCTATCTGAACAAAAATCGAAAAAATGTCCTCGGTGAGGATAAAAAATAAATAAATAAAAAATAAAACGTCTTTTAAAAAAAAGAGGGGGGGCATCTTTAATACATTCAACAATAAAGTTAAAAAAATTTCCTTGTAACCCACTGGTGTGGCTCAGGGGACTGAGCATCGTCCCATTGACTGAGAGGTCCCCACTGTATTCCCAGTCAGGGCACATGCCCTGCTTGTGGGCTCAGTCCCCAGTGGGGGGCATTCAGGAAGCAGCCAATCATTGTTTCTCTCTTGCATCAATGTTTCTATCTCTCTCTCCCTTCCTCTCTCTCTAAAAAAATCAACAAAAACATTTAAAAAAAATTAAAAACTGGTAAAAACAAAATTTTTTAAATTTCTTTTTATTTTTTTTTTTTTTTTTTTTTTTTTTTTTTTTTTTATCCTCACCCGAGGACAGTTTTCCATTTTTTGTTCAGGTAGAGTGGGAGGGAGAGAGAGGAACAGAGAGAGAGAGAGAGAAACATCGATGTGAAGGGACACATCGAGTGGCTGCCACCCGCACAACCAACCAGGGCCGGGGACAAACTGCAACCGAGGTATGCGCCCTTAGCGGGAACCGAACCCGGGTCTCTCAGGACCGCAGGCCGATGCTCTAACCGCTGAGCCAAACCGGCCAGGGCTAAATTTCTTTTTAGATCGTAGAAAAAGATAATTGACTCACACAATCGTTGCAAACCATAAATATACAATGAATGATAAACTTCCAATTCACTGATAGTTCTCACCGATTCTAGAGAACTTGAATATTGAAGTATGCAGATAGGTTATGGCCTACTGATAAACATTCTAATGATCTATCTACTGATAAATTAGAAGGCTAACAAAGAATATCATTTTCTTTTTTCCAGCTTTATTGAGATATAATTAAAAAATAAAAATTGTATATACTGAAGATGTACAACTCAATGTTTTGCTACATGTATACATTGCGAAATAGTGACCACAAACACGCTAGTTAACATATCCATTACCTCACATTCATTGCATTTTCAAATACAGAACTCATCTCTTCACAGGCACCAAGGATGGCAAATTTAAGCCAAAAGAAATTTTGAAATTATAATCACAGTGGAATGGGCTGCCTTGAAACACACTAAACTCTACAACTCTAGAGGGCTTTCAAACAAAAGCTGATAAACATCCAATTGTACGAGGTGACTCTGAAGTAGACACCTGTGCCAACAGGTTTTGGATAAGTTACTTTACATTCACGAGTTTAATTTTCCTTATCTGTAAACTGGTAACAATAACTCATTCCATAGAATTGTTGTAAGAATTTTTTTTTAAATCCTCACCAGAGGATATCTTTGCATTCAGATAGAGTGGGAGGGAGACAGGGAGGAAGAGAGAGAAAATATTGATGTGGGAGAGACACATCAACTGGATGCCACCCGCACTACCCCAACTGGAGCTGGGGACAAACTGCAACTGAAGTACATGACCTTAGTGGGAAGCGAACCTGGGACTCTCTGGGACTCTCTGGTCCTCGGGCCGAGGCTCTGACAGCGGAACCAAACCAGCCAGAGCAGGATTTTTTCTTTTAAGTGCAAAGCATGCACTCTGCCAATATAGTCACTATAAACTCATTATCCTATAGGAAGATTCTTGCATTCTATGGCAATTAAGTTAAAGGTTTCCAAGTTCATATCCATTCTAGCTGTAAGATTCTATTTATACCAGGGATTTTATAAAATGAACAAATAATGTCCTCAATTTGTGTGAAAACAACAAAACTACCCATGTATCAGTTATTCTTTTATTTAATGTGTAATTGAACTTTAGTTAGACAGTCATTAAAAAGTTTAATCTACCCCGATACATCAACGTTTCAGGTTTGATCCCCCATCAGGGCACATACTAGAATCAAACAACAAATGCATCAATAAGTGGAACAAGTCAATATTTTTCTCTCTCTCCCACTTCCTCCCTCTTTTTCTCTCTCCCTCTTCTTCTCAAATCAATAAATGAATAAAAGAATTTTTAAAAGTTGGATCTATAGATTATAATTAGAGACACTTGAAAGCTCACTTATTTTAACTCTTTTGGCTTTAGGGAAAATGTACATGTATAAAAAAACATATTACACCACTGCTTTACATGATTATATAGATAAACTTAGGCTGAACTAAGTGAACAGACAAAACAAGCTATTTGGTCCATAAATATAATCAACCCAACCAAAACTTCCTCGTAAAAACAAATGACAAATAAATATCTGATACATTCCAAAACTAAATGATCTTTTAATTACTTTACCCCTGTTTTCTCCTTCATTAACACAAATGATTGTGAGATTACAGGTTTACAAAATAACCCCTATTAAAATTAAAATTGCAATTAACTGAGTCCCTTCAACTTCAAATACCTTCTCAGCAGCATTCTGAGTTGGTTTCAGCTTCCCTTTGGCCATGAGCATGGCATTGATCTTGGCAGCCACAGCAGCAGCAGCATCTAAGGCTCCAGAGGGAGCAGCTGTGGTACCCCCAGGACTTCCCCCACTGCTGGTAACCTCCCCACCTGGGGCCGCCGGTGGGAGGAAGAGAAGGGAGGCTGGAGCTGGTTGGTCCCATTTGCTGCGGCGCCTACAATAAGTAAAAAAAAAAAAACAGGCCGCTAAAAGCTTTAATTTATACTATCTCCTCTAACACCTTCGAATCTCTTATCGGTGCTTGAAAATACAATCTTAAATAGACAACTACTACAATATTTCCCCAAATCCTCACTCTGCAACCCTTTTCCAGGATGGACTTCCTTTCTCTTCCGTCATTCCTATCAAAAGACTTCATTCTGTCCCATATGCCCTCGTTTTCGCCTTTCCCTTGGCTCGTCCTTCCAAAAGTCCCCGCTTTCCAACCCCTGTGATCCTCGCCGGTCTTTCTCAGGGGCCCCAGGTTTGCTCACCACCCTTCTCAACAATCCGGCCCTCCAATAGTACACTTCCCACTTAAGCGCCCCTCCACCCATATGCAGCTCCCATGGTCCCTCCGCATCTCCTGTGCCCCTGCTCGCTGGATTCCCTCGCCCGCGAAGCTTTACCCGCTGGCTCCAGGATGTGTCGCGCTCCCCGCGGACATGGCGACCGGCTATGCTCAACCACCCGCCAACTACCCCACAAGCACTTTCCCGTCACTTCCGCCCCCAACGCCCTTACGCAAGTCTCTTCCGGTCGTGAGGAACGAGGTTCCGGTTAAAACGTCTATTCCGATTGGACTCTCGTTGATTTCAAGGCGTCTGGCGTTATCTGAGACTGGTAGGGTGTGACCTTCCTGTTCGGGCCTTGCCCCCGAGAAAGATGGTTACTAACCCTCTTATTAAGGCGAAATTGAGGCGGGGAGAATCCATCTTTGTTGTGGGCAAGTTGGTAACCTACTTGATAATACGCATGAGTGAGGCACTTAAACCGGTTTCTCCCCAGATTGAGTATATTAGCGTGGAATCCCGGCCTGAGCGGGGGTGGAGCTTCTTGGCACTTTTGCCCACTTGGTGTTTCAGTTACCTATTTAGGAAAAGGAAAATGCTTTGTCCTGTCGGTGTTAGAAACATTTAAATTTATAGAGAATTTTTGTGAGTTTCTTTGAGCCAAGCTGTTGACAGTTGCCAGGAAGTACAATTTCAGTGGATTCAGATAATGTTTCAGAGAATGGCAGCTTTGTATTTTATACATTTTAATTAAAAGAGAAGATGCAAGTGAGTTAACATGGAATCCACTGGTGAAAGAGTAGAGAGGTGGGAGAAAGCAAAGTAGGTGAAACTTCTGGGGTTGGATGAAAAGTAAAATGATAGAAATGTGTATGTTTTATATAGGTGGGTACAGGATAGTTAACAGTCAATAATTAATTTAGTAACTATGAAGGGATTTGTGGTCTCCACATAGTGGTGCTTATGCTTTGAGGGGTCTGGAAAAGAAAATTATTTTGACATTCCAAAGATATGTTATCGTAGATGCAAAAAGACAATAGGCTCTGTTAAGGTAAAGACTGACCTTTGTCAGGGAAGATGTCAGCCTAGGACATGACTACCTGCCATAAACTGCTTTTAGTTCAAGAGTTTTCATTTCAGACCATTTTTTGTGGTTATTTTAGGTCTGAGTTTGCAAGGCCACCATGCAGGCCTTCCCTGAGCTTGTCAGGTTAGCATGTGGCCCCTTTTTGTCCTCACGTCCCCTTTTGGTCATAAATCAATCCAAAGGATGCACTAATGACCAACCTTTTGGTTGGATAAGAGATCCCACTAGGAAGGCTCATTTCTAGGAAGTCTCAGAGTTGGTATTTGTCTTGCTGAACAGGGTGGACTGTTGGAGATGGGGAAGACCATAACCTTAGATGGCATTCAAGGTAGACTTATTATTATTATTATTATTTAAAATAAAAAGGGTGCCCAGCTGGTGTGGTTCAGTGGTTGAGTGTCAACCCATGCACGAAGAGGTCGCTGGTTCAATTCCCGGTCAGGACAGATGCCCAGGTTGTGGGCCCAATCTCCAGTAAGGGGCATGTGGGAGGCAGCCAATTGATGTTCTCATTGATGTTTCTATCTCTCCCTCTTCCTCTCTCTAAAATAAATAAAGAAAAATATATATAATAAAAAGGTAGGTGAATGGGAAGCAGTAAGATTCTATATGTCCTTGTTAAAAAATATTCTGGATTATTTTCTAATTTTTGAGCTATCATGATCCCATTCTTTTGTTACTTGTCGTAAGGTGTTTTTTTGTTTGTTTTTGTTGTTTCTTGGGGGCCTCTCTCAGAAGGACCTGGGCCCCCCCTTTTTTTAAGCGTAGTATAACATTTACATACCAGTAACAAAAGCAGTAGTATTAAAACACTGACATTGATTAAGAATAGAAAATGTCTAAACTAGACAAGAAAGGGTCTGAGGAGAACAAGCATCCCAGCCAACTAAAAAACCCTTTATATGTATTACTATAACTTTTTTTTAAATCTTCACCTGAGGATATTTTTCTATTCATCTTCAGTCAGAGTGGGAGGGAGAGAGAGAGAAACATCAAGGTAAGAGAGGACCCTGACCAGGGCCAGGAACGAACTGCAGCTGAGGTACATGCCTGACCGGAATCGAACCTTGGACTCTTTGGTCCATGGGCCGACGCTCTACCGCTGAACCAAACTAGCCAGGGCTACTGTAACTTTTTTATTAAGTTAATTATATGTTGCTCTTTTTTATTCACTGCTATTTGTTTTGTTTTGTTGTCAATCCTCACCTGAAGATATTTTTTCATTGATTTCCAGAGAAAGTGGAAGGGAGGAAGGGAGGGAGAGAGAGAGAGAAACATTGATTCGAGAGACACATCAGTTGGTTGCCTCCCACAGGACCCCAACGGGGGCTGGGGATCAAATCTGAAACCTCGGTACATGCCCTTGACCGAGAAGGGGACCCATGACCCTTTGGTCCGCAGGCCAACGTTCAAACCACTGAGCAGCGTTAATTTGTGAGCATACAGGCCTTGTTTATGTCTTGGGATAGTTGTCTGCCTCTGTGGTCAGTAGCTTCTCATCCTTTTAAAGTCTTTTTTTTTTTTTTTTGGTACCTGCCCCTAGCGGAAACCAAACCCAGGACTCTGGTCCACAGGCCAAAGCTCCAACCCTTGAGCCTAACCAGCCAGGACTCATCCTTTTAAAGTCTTTGATCTCCACTGTAGATGGAGGTGAGCGTCAGAAACAGGGGCAGATGTCCATTTGTGGTTAGGCACATGTTAAGGTAAGGACAATACTGTTGGAGAGTCTTTAATTAACTTCTTTTTCAATGGACAAAAATTTTCTGGTTGTCATTTGTGGTCTTTGAAACCTGTCTCCTGGGAGTACACTGTGAAATGAATGTTACTAATTTATTTGTCCCTATAACCTTGTTAATGACTGATTGATAATAATACAGAATGTTTTCTTTTAGTTTTCTTTATATTTGGAAAACAAAAATATTTAAAAATTAGCAATATTTAAAATAGAATCATAGGAATAATTATTTTTACTTTCTTTAATCCTATAAGCAATTTTTTGTTTATTCTGATTATTTGCCAGTATTTGCATGAATTTAGTTATTCCTTAGAGTTCTATAAATCTTTACCCAGTTCAAAGCTATGACCTGCTTAGAAACCTGTAATTTGGAGTAGGTCAGAGTTCTTTTCATGGATTTTTCTAAAGATGTAATATCTCTGCAAATGCATGAGAGTAAAACAATGACAGTCTATAAATGACAAATTTTTATTTATTTATTTATTTTATCCTCACCCGAGGACACTTTTCCTTTTTGTTCAGGTAGAGTGGGAGGGAGAGACAGGAACAGAGAGAGAGAGAGAGAAACACCGATGTGAAAGGGACACATCAAGTGGCTGCCACCCGCACGACCAACCAGGGCCGGGGACAAACTGCAACCGAGGTACGCGCCCTTAGCGGGAACCGAACCCCGGCCTCTCGGGACCGCAGGTCAACACTCTAACCGCTGAGCCAAACTGGCCAGGGCTATAAATGACAAATTTTTAAGTAGTATGGTTATATATTTGATTATAATGCAACTGATAAAAAACAAACAAACTGCTTTTCTATAAGATGTAACATTCCAAGACAACAGTTTCTTGATAGGGAAATTATTCCACACCACTTCTTCTCCAAGAATCCACCACTATTTTAGTTCCTGAATGAGTAAGGATGACACTTTCTACTACATAATTAGTGAGGTATTGTTTGAACAAATGAAACATATTTTGATTTGTGTAATTTTTTTTTTTTATCTTCACCCGAGGACACTTTTGCATTTACCTTCAGACATAGCAGAAGGGAGAGAAGGAGGAAGAGAGAGAGAGAGAGAAACATCAACGTGAGAGAGAGACATTGAGTGGTTGTCACCCACATGACCCCAACCGGGGCCGGGGACAAACTGAAACCGAGGTACGTGCCCTTAGTGGGAACCAAACCCAGCACTCTCTGGTCCGCAGGCCAACGCTCTAACCGCTGAGCCAAACTGGCCAGGGCTGATTTGTGAAATTTTGAGGTACAGTCAGCCCTCATTTATCACGGTTAATCAGTTCCAGACTCGACCGTGATAAATGAATTTCTGCAAAGTAGGATTTTTTATTTATAAATCCAGTATTTTCACAGAGCATAGAAAACTTGTTTACAACCTTCTAAATACACTTTTTAACATTATTAGAGCCCTCTAGACATGAAATAACACCCTCTAGTCACCATTACACTCGTGTTACCCAATATATTAGACAAAATACGAGAAGACATATTAGACATTACAAATATCATATTGTTATTATTGTACATTTAATTACACACACACAGTTCTTACACACAACCATTAACCTATGAAAGTAGTGCAACTTGTTTGATGATGAAGCAACGAAGATGAAGAGATGTACTGCACAGCAAAGAAGAGCAAGGTTACTGCTCCTCTGAAGGCACGACCTCAGTAGGAGAGTCTTCAGGTGGTGCAGTGTCTTCAGCAGGTGCATCGTCATCTTCTTCCACTGAAGGAGCACAAGGAGTAGGCAGTGGGTGTCTGGGTGCGCAGCTAAAGAACATCGTGATAGGCAGTTGCTGGTGCTGTCTTTTCATATGCGTGAGGAGGCTTTTGTAGGGTTCTCTCGCTCCATCAAGTGCATTCTGGAACCGCAATGCATGCATCATTTGTGCGGCCCATTTGTCAATCATGTCGTGTACTACCTTAATAGTTCTCACGACTTGCGAGAGATGCTCAAGTGTAAGAGAGATGCTTCCTCCTCCTGACCCCCAGGAACCTCTGGCTGCTCTTCCTCCTCCTCACTCACAGACTTAGTCATCTCCACCGGATCCTCATCAGTTAAGGGATCCAAATGTGTCTCCAGCAGCTCATCCACGTGTTCTGGATGATACTTGCCTTCCTCAAGGATCTTCTGGAATGTGTTGTTCATGTAGTCCTCTGCTACAGGCTGGTCAGCAGAGGCAGCTTCTCCATGAAGAACGACACTCTTCAGATGATACCTCTTCTGGAACTTCTCGAACCAACCATTGCTCGCCATGAAATCCATGAACATTGCAGAAGAGAGTCCTGGTTGAGGTTCATCCGCCATAAAGCGCTGATAGAGATGCCTCGCCTTCTCCTGGATGACCAGCGAATCCAACAGAATGTTTTTCTTGCTACTGTCGCTGATCCAAACGGCTAGGGCAGACTCCGTT